GAGAGATAATGTGTAGTTCCTGGTGCCATGGGAGTGTCATCTATTGCTAGTCTTTTTTTTTTCTTTTTTATTTATTTTTTTTAAATACTGTTTTTTTAAATTTTTTTCCGTTTTTTTTTAATTGAGAAAAGGAAAAAAACCAAGTTTCTGCCTCCTCCCAGCCTCCCATTTCCCTCCCCCTCCTCCTACCCTTCTCCCCCTCCTCCCACCCTTCTCCCCCTCCCCCTACTCCTCTCCCCCTCCCTCTCCAGTCCAAAGAGCAGTCAGGGTTCCCTGCCCTGTGGAAAGTCCAAGGTCCTCCCCGCTCCGTCCATATCTAGGAAGGTGAACATCCAAACTGGCTGGGGTCCCACAAAGCCAGCACATTATAATACTCTCCGTAGGAGGCTTTTTCTCAGCCTGGGATGGTTTATTGCCCATGCATGCAGGTTGAGCACTTCAGCTACAGATGGAGGAAGACATCTCTGTCTTGGTCTCCTTTACTTCTCTCTGCTCTCCTGCCTTGTTACTCTAGCTATGCTGGCTTCTTTGACTCTCAGGTTCGTGGCATTAGGGAGACAATTGTAGTCTGCCCACAGTCAATGCAGAGAGTAAGCTGGATAGACCACAGGACACAGCTTTCTCGACTTCTGTCTTTCTGAGATCATTAAACATTGCGCGTTGATTCTACTATCTTCAAAGCTAATTGCTGTGTAGAATTTGGTAAAAAAATATTTTGAGTCAGGGTCAAAATGTTTACGTAGCTCATGTAGTCCTGGATCTGTGACTCCTCGTGCATCAGCCATTCATGTGCTAGGATTGCAGGCATACAGCTCCATGACTGATTTATATTTTTCTTTTGTTGTTGCTTCTCTTGACCAGCTACATCATGACCCCAGAAGCAGTTCATGGAAGTTTGTTACAATTCAACTTTTTGTTTTTGGAAGTGTGTATTAACTTTGTACGCATTAGTGACTCAGACATTGATTATCGTATGGTTAAGGGGACTTGGGAAGAGTAATTCTGGGGAGGGTATGTGTGTAGTGCGATCAGCATGAGAGAAACTGGTAGTTAGAGTCTAATATTATCAATCTACAGTCATGTCAACCTTGGGAAAAACAACTTTAGACCTTTAATCATTTTGAAAAAAAAAGAAATTATTATTGAAGTAATGCTGTTATTTACCTTAAGACCGTCATGTGTCTTTTAGTTGCCCATCATAAATGTAGAACAAGATGAATGGCCTATCTTTTCTTCTTGTTTTTTTTTTTATTTCAATAGTGGTTCTCTACAGTATTGTGCAGAAAAATCATTGTATTTATAATCAATATAAAACTTTTGTGATCTATGTTCAACTGTAAGAAGCAATTCTCATTACTGAGAATAAATGAAAAGCTTAAAGAGAGTAAGGCAAAGGAGACTTTGCTTTCAGAGCCACAAACTACATAGCATAATAAAACAATAATTACTGGCCAACGTTCTACAAAGGAAGACTACTCCAGGTTTACATGATGTGTTTCTACTGAATAGTTTCTTTGGAGATAAGCTTCCCATTCATACCCCTCTCCTACAACTACCAAGCAGTGAGCTTACAAGGAAGATCTAAGCAACATAGGAACAGGAGTGATGCTTTCTTGGCAAGCTCCACTCATGGGATTGTTAGATGCCTGTTCTCTTTGTTAGTCTCTATTTACAATTCCCTGAAGCAAGATGTTTCCTTCACATACATTTTCTATGTGAGATTTGGGAGCTAGTCCCTTTCCTATGGTAAAATGAGCTGTTAATTTAACTCTTTGGAAGTGGAGCAGAGAGGAGGAAACAGAAAGCAGAAGACCGAGTTGAGTGAGCCAATAGATTTATTGGTATGTTGAAAAGTAAGATGAGAGTTGTAACAGAGGTATAAAATTAAAAAAAAAACAGGCGAGGTTAATTTTCTAGTTCATGGTCTTGGAGTGAATTTCATTCTGTGACCCATCTCCTCATTCAGCAGTGAGTCACTTTGGGGTATAAATAGCACTGGAGGAAGCTAGGGAGGTCCTTTACGTGTAATGGTACAACAGCTGTTTGGAAGAAGGTCAGTCGGAAAGGTCAGACATTTTTGTCCAGGGTCCTGTTCGCCATGGCAAAAGAATTTATTTATAGATGGACAGTAAGCAAAAGGTTTACTTGGAAACACTAGAGAAAGTGAACTAGTCATACTGGGGAACAGTGTGGGTACCCTCATATATTAGTCAGGGTTGTTTAAAAAGGAAAAGAACTGATAGAATGAATGCACACACACACACACACACACACACACACACACTATTATATATATTGAAGGGGGATTCATTGGAGTGGCTTTCAGGCTAGTCCAAGAATGACTGTCTTTCAAAGGAAGTAGAGGTCAGTCTTGTAGGTGTTAGTCCATGAGCCTGGATATCTCAGCTGGTCTTCAGTATATACTGGAATCCCCAAGAAGTAGGTTCTGATACCAGCAAAGCAATGTTCTAGCATAGGACAACTGAACTTTCCAGGGAGAGTGAGAGAAAGTAGGCTAAAGCAAAAGTTCATGTCCTTTTAGGCAAACTGCACAGTATGGTTCAGGTATAGGATGGGTCTTTCCATCTTGTGTGATCTAGTCAAGAAAATATGTCATAGGCATTTGTAGGTGTTTGTGTTTTAGTGGATTTCATAGCGAATTGACAACTAAGATGGCTATACCCTATCACTGATGACTGTGCAGGAACCACAGCAATGAGGATCAGGTAATCTCTCCATTAAGAACTGTTCTGGGAGTAGTTAGCATACGGTTATTATGGGCTCGAGATTTTGATGAGGGGATAGTGTAAAATGGAGACCATTTGAACTGTTCTACCGTCTGTGACAATTTGATTACGTAGCAGACATTGTTATCTTGAAGATGAGCTTAGTTTTTCCATTTTCCTCCTACTTTTGCCCTTATTGGTTCTAAGCACTGCCATGAGAAGCTAATATACCCATCTTCTGCAGTGTGTGACTGTGTGTGTTTTCAGGGAAATGGGCTTGCTCAGAGGTTTTATTCCTAGCAATGACTTTAGAAGTCCTGGAGAACTTCCTGAAGGGTCCAGTTTCTTTTTTATTTTTTCCCCTGGTTAATTAAGAGTGATTGGCACTTTGTCTCATGGTGTACAAATAAGGATAAGGCAATATAACAAGGGAGTTAACCCTTGTTTTAGATCTTTTCATTCATGCATATTAATTTTTTCCCACTGTTCTGAGAGACATGTGAGGGAAATCTTCTAAATGAATGTGGTCAGGAGCCTGGGCTGTCATCCTTCCTTTCCTAGGACCTCTTTTAGTACACATGAGCACAGGAGCCACATCCATATTGACATACAACACTTAGTTTGAGCATTTTAAGCATTGTTTTACTGGTTAGCAGAAGTCTTACTGATTTTTTTCTAGAGAATGTTGATATCGCAAGTTTTGAGGTCCATAAGGACTTGGGCTCTTAGGGGCCCTCATGAGGAGCTGTGGATTTTCTCATACGCCACAGGCAGTAGCCATGCCAGTGCCCCACAAAGTCTGTGCTTAGTTATGCAGTAAAGACACAATTTGCATGTAATGAAATTGAGTCATAAAAATTTGAGGTTGGCTAGAGTAAACAAGATTAATTTTTTCATAATTTTAGTGTATGAAATGTACCTAGTGAAAATTATTAAATATTAATACATTCAAGATAAATGCCCATTCAGATCTCATAAAAAGCAAGACTTCAATCTCTGAAAAACCTTAATGTCTTATGATGCTGAACAATGCCCCAAGGTAAACATTAGTAAGTATGTCATACTTATATTCATGCCTTGTATGTATTTGCACTCACTCGTATGTAAATTTATTCTGTCATTCTTTTAACAATATATTATTGAGTTATATTTCATTATATTAAAATATTGAAGATAGAAAGATAAATAAACCTCTTGTCTAATAAGTTATGGCTGGAGTAGTAATTTTTTTAGATATATGGATTTTGAAATTACATTAGCTGTATTGATCAGAGTCATATAAAGATAAGACTAGGGTGTGATTTGGAGTGTGAGTTGCAGGCTGTCTTTACAGAACCAGTACTGAGGTAGGTCAGAAAAGCAAAAACAGAGGCAGGCATCTGTTTTATTAAAAAATTACGTTCAGAATGACTTTTCACCTTCAGGGTAAAAGTTTGTTCTTCAGAGGTGAGTACACATCCTTCTTCCTTGTCTCTGGGCTTTTCTGGGCAGTTAAGATCTTTTCTAGGTTGAGAGCAGAGTCCTGATGCTTCACCTGCTCAATACTCCTTGGAATTCACATTTTCTCTACTTTGGATGCCAGGCAGGTCCTGGTTTACTTCCTAGTACTGCCTCAATAAGATCCAGCTGTAGCCAAGACTATGGGGCATTTTCTTGGTCAATAATTGATGTGGGAGGGCCCAGTTCAACTTGGCAGTGCCACCTGCGCAAAATTGGAGCCTAGCCCAGGTTTAATTGGAGGCCTTCATCCAGCACGTTATGGAAACAGATGTAGAGACTCATAGCTAACCATTGCGTGGAGCTTGGGTAACCCACCAGAAGAGGGGAAGGAAGGTCTGTAGAAGCCAGAAGAGTCAAGATCACCACTAGAACATGGCCCACAGAATCAACTAAGCAGGACTGGTAGGAGCTCCCAGAAACTAAGATGACAATCACAAATCATGTATGGGTCAAATGAGCTAGGTCCTATGAATCTTATGACTATGTAGTTTGGTGTTCTTATGTGATTTATAACAGTGGGAGTGGCGGGTATTTCTGACTCTTTTGCCTGCACTTGGGACTTTCCCCCTCCTACTGGTTTGCCTTGTCCAGTCTTGATATGACAGTATTTGCTTAGGCTTGTTAAGCCATATTTGGTTGATATCTCTGGGAGACCTGTTCTTTCTCTGAAAGGAAATGGAGGAGGAGTAGAACTGGTGGAGAAGGGAGGTAGAGGAGAGCCTGGGAGAAGTAGAGGGAGGTTAAACTTTAGTGTGGATGTAATGTATGAAAGAAGAATAGATAAGTTTAAAAAAGAAAGAAAGAAATTAGACACTAAGTAAGCCATAAGGATCAAGCTGGTAAGTAGCATTTGTGCATGGCCCTATATATAATTTCACGCTTTCAGGATCCTACCTAGAATTCCTACTTTGGCTTCTCTGGATGAAATAATCTCTTCTCTCTAAGCTGCAAGCTGCTTATGGTCATGGTGTTTTGTGACAGCCTAAATCACATGCCGACTTCCAACACAGTAAATCATTTGTACACGCTCTCCCAGATATACTGAGTTTCAGAGCAGACTCAACTCTCTGTGTCCAAAGCCTACTAACCAGAGGAACCTAGTTAAAGCTTTCTCAGGTGGTGGGAAATTCCACTGTTTCCCTGCAGTTTTTGGATCAAGAAACAAGCGTTCCTCACCCAAGCCTTACCACTGCCTTTCTCCAACACTGAGAACAGTGGTGGGTTGGGTTGGGTTGGGTTGGGGACGAAGAGACAGCGGAAGTGGACATGACATTCATGTTCTCTCGGTTCTCCCCAAGAAATTTTGGAAAGGAATTTTTTTTTCTTGAGCTACTGGTATCATGAAAGTTTTCAAGTCCCTCATTATCTCCCACTAGAGTGGCATCAGATAGTGTGTTCTCCATTTATCAGCAGGTCAACAGAATTGTGGGAAGTAGAGATCATTGTTTCTTAACTGTGGGCTTTGCAAATGGTCATGTTTACTGGAGTCACATCATCACTCAAGTGTTCCTTATCCTGTGACATGTCACTCTTTTAAGAAGGAGGCCAGGGAAAAAGAGAGAGAGAGAGAGAGAGAGAGAGAGAGAGAGAGAGAGAGAGATAGTAAATGAATGTGTACTGAAGTGACACAACCAAGTGTAAATGAGGGAGAAAAGGTGGGCTGTTCAGAGTGACTTAGATATGCATGAGTATTTTATATGCTGTAACTTTCCTCAAGGCAGAACAGTTCTCTTCTGGTACTTTCTTCACTTTAGGAATTGCATTTTTACCTATTTGTGTGTGGGTGTATATATGTGTGTGTGTGTATGTGTGTCTATAAGTGGAGGAAACTTCTGAAAATTTAACTTTAATACAAGAAAATGACTTCAACTCATGCTTATTTAACATATTTTCATAGTGTTTAAATCCTAAAATTAAAGTTTCATTGGTAGCTTTTTATTCAGAATTTTATCATGGGTTATTAAATGGTGGCATTGATTCTAATGGGCAGGACCCACACAGTTTCAGTGGGGGTCAACTTAGTGGGAAGTCAGTTGTAGTTACATGGCTTCTGAGGTCTGCCTGTTGCACAGTTGTGTGACCTTGGCAGAATTTTTATCTCCTTTATCTTATGTATTTATCTAACAAAATGAAGGCACTGTCTTCTACATTAAGATATTATGAAATCAGATGACACACATCTACATTTCCAGGATTCAGAAGACTGAGGGTTAGAGGGTAGGAAGTTGAAATATAGCCTGGGCTACATAGTGAGACAAGAAACAAAAACTAAAAATTTGAATATGTATAATGTGATCCATCCATATAGTCAACAATGATGTCCCAGAGTGAATTATAGAGGTGAAGTCTTCGTTTTGTGAAAGTACTGTGAAAACAGTCATCATTAGATGTGTTTATTATTTTTTCCTACTACCTTGTTAGAGCCACAGTGAGAATTTATTATCTTGTTTTCCACATTAGCAGTAAAAAATAGTTCTTAGACATGGCTAGACTTCAAGATAGATTTGGTGAATAAGCTAAAATGAGCATAGTCATCACCTCTCACTTCTGACTGCCTGCATCCAAAAATCACATGGTGACCTGCTTCCAGCTATGCCATGGACAAGTCATTGGTGTAATTACTACACTTTCTAAGAGGTGAGAGAGTCTGTTAGGACCAATGTGGGAATCAGAGTCATGAATGGGAAGATTCCATGTCTTGGAATCCTGCCATATTCTAAAGATTTGATGGAAATAGGAGTCTGATAGCAAACATTACCTTCATGTATTAGATACACAATTCAATAGCTCTAAATAGAGAAAGGTTAATGAAGTAAGATGGCTCCTCTTAATTTTCTCTTTAACTTCTCTCTGACTCTGATCTAAGCTACTCTCTCACCCATACTGCACCATCCTCACCAGCTCGCAGATTGTTGCAGGGACAGCGGGTAGCCCTTTGTCCCGGCTGCCCGGCTAGCTTACACCTGAAATAATCACATAGAAACTGTATTCATTTAAACACTGCCTGGCCTATTAGCTCTAACTTCTTATTGGCTAAATTCTTACATCTTTTTTTTTTTTTTTTTGGTTTTTTGAGACAGGGTTTCTCTGTGGCTTTGGAGCTCGTCCTGGAACTAGCTCTGTAGACCAGGCTGGTCTCGAACTCACAGAGATCCGCCTGCCTCTGCCTCCCGAGTGCTGGGATTAAAGGCGTGCGCCACCATCGCCCGGCTCTTACATCTTAATTTAATCCATTTCTATCAAATCTATGCATTACCATGTGACTGTGGCTTACTGGCAAGATTCTGATCGTCTCAGGCAGGAGATCCATGGCTTCTGCCACTCTGCCCTTCTTCCCAGCATTCAGTTCTGTCAGCTCCACCTACTTAAATTCTGTCCTATCAACTAGGCCAAGGCATTTTCTTTATTCATTACCCAATGAAAGCAACACAAAAACAGAAGGACCTACTATCAGTTCATTTGATTTCATCTTTAGGTTTTCATGCTACATCCACATTTCTTACTTTCCTAGTCCTCTCTGAAAAGAAGTGTCCTCATGTTTAGGGTTGGCTTTCCTTCCACCCTATCTGTTCAGGGATCAGCTTGGACCCATTGATCTGAAAAATGAATGACTACAAACCTTTCTTTTCTCCCAGAACCCAGGGATTTTATACTGCAAAATTCTCTTATTTCGTATTTACTTTCATTTACTGATGTAATCACCATTACATGGATAGACTTTCTGATGGAAACTCCTGAGTGAATCTGAAACCAAGATTGTGCTGCTGTGGGAAAAGATTGTTTACTTAGTGCTCAAAGAGAAGTGTTGGTAGCTCTTCAAGGTTTTGCTCCAGTTGTCTCTTTTTCTCTCTTTTCTTACAAAGAAAACCTTATAATTCTCAGTAGTATGAAAGAATTTAGATTCTTTAAAAAATGTATGAGTGAACATTTATTTAGAATGAGGCAAAAATTCATAGCCAGTTGTACCTTTATCATAAAAGGTGGAAAAATAAAAATCTTAATTAAATACATGTATCACACATTAGCCAATTAATTTTAATGTTTCCTTTAATATTCACATCCTTGTCTAATTCTTTACTTTTTTAATAATTGAAAATTTTATTTATTATACATCCTGATGGCAATTTTCCCTTCTTCCACTTCTCCCATTTCCTTCCCCCTCACCTCTTCCTCTCTCCCACTCCTCCTCAGTCTCCATTCAGAAAGGGGCAGGCCTCCTATGGCTTCAACAAAGCAAGGCATGCTACATTGAGGCAGGAGCAAGCTTCTCCCCCAGCATCAAGGATGGGCAAGGCAACCCAGCATGGGGGATAGGTTCCCAAAAGCCAGCTTAAGCTCTAAGAACAGCTCCTGATCCCACTGCTAGGAGTCCCACAAATAGACCAACCTACACAACTGTTGCACATGTTCAGGGGGGTCTACACTGGTTCCATGCAAGCTCCCTAGCTGTCCCGCTAGAGTCCCTGAGCTGCAAGGTCAGCACCTTCATGACCTTGACCCTCTTGACTCCCTCTCCTCAACAGGATTCCCTGTTAATTTAGGCCCTGTGCTTAACATTGAATATCTATATCCATTCCATCAGTTACTGGATGTAGACTCTCACATGAAAATTAAGGTAGTCACTAATCTGATTATATATTAGGCGACTTTTGATTTGCATTTCCTTGATGGCTAATGATGTTGGACAGTTCATTAGGCATATCTTGGCCATTTCAGATTTTTCTGTTGAGAATTGTGTTTAGATTTGTATTCCATTTTGAATTGGATATTTTGGTATTTTAATGTCTTATTTCTTGAGTTCTTTATATATTTTGGAGATCAGTCTTCTGTCAGATGTAGAGGTGGTTAGAAGCTATTCCCATTTTGTAAGGCTTCTGTTTTGTCTTATTTACAGTGTCATTTACTATACAAAATCTTTTTTCTTTCAGGAGGTACCATTTATTAATTGTTGATCTCAGTGTCTGTGCCGTTGGTGTTATATACAGGAAGATGTCTCCTGTGCCAATGTGTTCAAGGTTACTTCCCAGGTTCAGTGTAACTGGATTTTTGTTGTAGTGCTTTATCCACTTTGACTTGAGTTTTCTGCAGGCTGATAGATAAGAATCTATTTGCATTCTTCTAATTGTTGATATACAGTTAGGCCAGCACTATTTGTTGAAGATCCTTTCATTTATCCATTGTATAATTTTGTTTTCTACATAAAAATCAGGTGTTCATAGCAATGCAGATTCATGTTAGGATATTCAGTTTGAGTCAATTAATCATCCTGTCTTTTTATGCCAATGCTATGCTGTTTCTATTACTATAGCTCTATAGTAGATCTTGAAGTCAAGGATGGTGATACCTCCAGATCTTCCTTTATTGTATAGAATTCTTTTAGCTGTCTTGTTTTTTTTTTCCATTTGAAGTTGAGTACTGTTCTTTTGAGGTCTGTAAATAATTGTGATTGAATTTTGATGGGGATTGTACTGAATCTGTAGATTGCTTTTGGTAAGATTACCATTTTTGTTATATTCATTCTAATAATCCATGAGTATGTGAGACCCTTCTGGTTTCTGATATCTTCTCTGATTGTTTTCTTCAAAGATCTAAAGCTTTTGTTATACAGGTCTTGCATTTGTTTGGTTAGAATAATCCCAAGATATTTCATATTGTTTGTGGCTGTTGTAAAAAGTATTGTTTCTCTGATTTCTTCCTCAGCCCATTTATCATTTATATATAGGGGGATTAGGGAGGCTGGAGGTATTACTGATTTTTTTTTGAGTTAATATTGTATCCAGTCACATTGCTGAAGGTGTTTATCAGCTATAAGAGTTCCCTGATAGAAATTTTAGGGTCA